TCATCTTAATAATAAAACAATTTGAAAGTACTCTACAGTTTTGCAGCTAATTAAGTTCACCTTTATTCGCTGAATTATGTCAGTTTGCATTATATTTTTCTTTTATCACATATCACTTTGCATGATTGCCGATAATAATCTATGCGTTGTACTGAAATAATCAAAGATTTTAACTTTTTTGATTTACTGTAAAAGGTTTTTGTGATCGTCTTGTTCAATTTCAAAATTTTGTCGTTAATCTGTTTTATGTAAATTAATTTAATTAAAAAAGTGCTATTTTATTTACACAAAATATGCTTCGTTTGGTTTTGAACTTTTGAGTGAACACTATACCAATTTGTAACGCATCTGCCCAGATGGATCACGGACATGATGAAAGAGAAAAAGGTTGTTCAGCTTTCAATTTAAATACGAGGAAAATCAAATATTCAATTTGACATTTGTTGACGCCACCCAGATTCTTTTTTTTTGTGTGTTTGTGCAAACGTCATCACATAGATTCTAACGTACGTTCTGTTTTGGTTCTTTAGTATCTCTCGCATCATCCTCTTAAACGTGTAAATGTTTTTTTATATATAAAAGAAACCCTGCTCTAATTAAAGAACTAAAATTTTCCAAATTACATTTTTATTTGTCTAGAGATTACTGACTTTCTTTTGATGTAATTTTTCATGTTTGTTTTTTCTTTCTAAACTAGCTATTCAATGAATATTTTTAATTTATGCAGTACGAAGGTGCAACAAATGAAGGTGGGAAGTCTCCAACTGTATGGGACCACTTCAGCCGCACATACCCAGGTCTGTCCCTGTCCGAAACCAAAAATTTGCGGACCGAATTTGATAACCACCTCTATACCAGCAATTACCATATTTCTATGAAACTGTTTGTGACAAAAGAAGGTAAAAAACTAACGATTATCTATAAAATCTTTAACTGCAGAAAGGACCGAAATGCATAATGCAGATGTGGCAATTGATTTTTATCACCGTTATAAGGTACTAGTACTATCTATAATCAAGCTTTTATTTTTAATATGTCCCATATAATCAATGTTATTTTGTCAGTACACTTTTCATTTTCATTTTTGTTCATTAGTATTATCTTTTTTATACGACAAATAAAAACAGGAGGACATTAAACTGATGAAGGAACTAAACATGGACGCTTTCAGATTCTCAATCTCATGGGCCAGATTAATTCCCAGTGAGTTTTTATCGTTGTTGACAGTTATATTTTTCTTTACTAACAGTTATTTATGCTAGATGCTTTTTTTAATCAATTATTATACCAGTTATTATTTGTTGTTGTCATCATTTCTACGAGTTATTTATGTGGTCAGTTTCCAATTATATACAGGTGGAAAGCTAAAGGATGGAGTAAACGAAGAAGCTGTACAATTCTACAAGGATCTCATCGACGAACTTCTAGCTAATGGTAAGATCATTAGTTTCCTAGCTAAGTTTAAATTCTCTAAATATATTAAAGGTCTGCTTATAAAATGAAAATAAAATTTATGGTCCGATAATCCCACAGATATACAACCCTCAATGACTCTCTATCATTGGGACCATCCACAATCTCTGGAGGACGAATATGGTGGCTTTTTAAGCCCTACAATCGTGTAAGTCTAATTAACACATTGATAATAAAAACTTTAGCAAACAAAACAAACACAAATATAACATTTCTAAAAAGAGTTACTATTGAATCCAGTTATTAAGCATGTTATTTTATTTTATGATTTTTATCAAAACAGAGAAGACTTTCGAGATTTTGCAAGAGTTTGTTTCGAAAATTTTGGAAGTAAAGTCAAGATGTGGACAACGATCAACGAACCGTACATTATGACAATTTCGGGTTATGACCAAGGTACCAAGGCGGCTGGACGATGCTCAAAATGGGTAAACGAAAAATGCCATGCTGGAGATTCCAGTACCGAGCCTTACATTGTTTCACATTACATTCTTCTTGCTCATGCCGCTGCAGTAGATGAATTCCGAAAATGTAAAACAATTTCGCATGATAGCCAGATTGGGATAGTATTGTCACCAGGATGGTTAGAGCCTTATCATTCTGACTCTACTGATGACAAAGAAGCAGTTCAACGAGCCCTTGCCTTTGAAATTGGATGGTAAGTTATCTAAACAGAATAATTTTAGTAGTTTTGCTTATATATATTTTTTTCTTTTTAGTATTAATTTATCTTCTATATGTATATAGGCATCTTGATCCAGTGATTTATGGAGATTATCCAGAGATAATGAAAAAATATGCGGGGAACAAATTACCTTCGTTTACAACGGAACAATCAAATATGTTAAAAAATTCGTCAGATTTTCTTGGAGTCAATTACTATACTTCTCGCTACGCTGCTCATATTCCTCGACCAGCAAAGCCTCGGTTCAAGACTGATAATCAAGTCGAATTGAGAGGTACGTACGCATGATGCTAATTACTAAACTTATCGATACCAATTTTAGTTTAGCTTAGATGGTTTAATTAAACAACGTTTTAATTTGCTTTGAAGCAGCGAGGAACCACAGTGGCCACATTATTGGACCTGGAGTACGTGCGCTTACTTATTTTCAAATGCCACATATAATATATGATTACAAGACATCTAAAGTTTGTATATTTTTTTTTCTTCAGGAAGACAGGGGCCAAATATTGTCATACCCGAAAGGCTTGCGAAAAGTTCTGAACTATATCAAAGACAAATATAATAACATCCCTGTCTACATCAAAGAAAATGGTTAGAAAACATTTTTCTTCGGTTGATTAATTAGAATTTTCTAACAAATGACAACGTTATTTTATCTACTTAATTATGAGAAAATTCTGGATTTTAAGACGTAATCTCAATAACTTTATAAAACGTGAATAAACTCTTAGAACTTAAGTTTGGTGTCACTGAAATATATGTATTTTTAGTCGACTAAACTAACTGGTTTTTAGTACGATTTATTTTCTCCAAAAATTTGAGTACATATAACTCATGTTGATTATTGAATTGCAGGAATTAACGAGCGCGACCATGGTACAAAACCGAGAGAAGAGTTTCTTAAGGATACATTTAGGATTGAATACCATAAGACACATTTGCAAGAACTTCAGAAAGCTATAGTGTTAGTTCTTTATGTTTCGCACAATTTACAGATACGTTTTAATTTATATTGATTTATTGCTAAACGTTATGATATGTTATGATATGGTTATAGGGAGGATGGGTGTGACGTAAGAGGATATTATGCATGGTCACTGATGGACAACTTCGAATGGGAAAAAGGATACACTGCTCGATTTGGTCTTTACTATGTTGACTTTGTCAACGGTCTCAAACGTTATCCCAAAGATTCAGTCAAATGGTTTAAGCAGTTTCTTAAGAGATCCATCGGAGAGACTAAAGATGAGGATGTGAAGGAGATCTCACATACACAGGGGAATAAGACTTTGGATATTGAAGAATCGGCGGTTTTTTTTGTCTCTTTCATGGCGGCAAACCAAACGAAGAGAGAAGAAGAGCGAAATCGTTGTTCCATTGGTTTTTTTAATAACCGTTTTGCTGTTTTGCCGGGAATAGAGAACCCATCGCCATTTCATTGATTTCAAACCCTTATGGTTAAATATGTATTTACTTTTATAATTTTCTTCATGTATAATATTATTATGTATGAACATTTTCTTAAGGAAATAACGAATAGAGTTGTAATATTTTTTGAAAATAATGCATGGCGGCTGGCTAGCTCTACGTTGACTAATCGATCAACCCTAATGCGATAGTAAACGGTGTACGTAAACCACCCAATTTAATCACGAAACTACCACAAGTTGATTATCATCATCTTCTGTTGTCATTTCTTGTTGATTACAAGTTATTGGTTATCATCATCATTTTCTTGTAAACCACAACTTGATCATAGACATCTAAAACGCTGGATCTCTATTTGGCAGATGTCTGGTATATCAAAGTCAAAGTCGACACAAGCACTCGGATATAAAACTTGTAGCTTTGTTATTTTGTTACGTTGTTGTCAACAAAACTTATCGTTTTATCCAAAAAGGATCAAAACTTATCGCTCGGTCAGAAAAGACTACAACCAAACTAATCCGAGGTAAAAGTACTACTATTCGCAATCTGACGTACATAAAAGAAAAAGAAAAACTCATTTTACGTGTACGTTTACGTTTCTATTTTTTTACAATCGATTTTCCGTTTTTTTTTTTTTTTTTTTTTTTTTTGGTATCTCTGGTATCCGGGTCCGAAGAGTCGACCGAATGGTCACCGACCAGTCCTGGGGCCCAAACCATTGAGCTTTGTCCAGCTGTATCCAGTTATTCCGAGGATCTAACCCGAACGGAAAACTCGACTATCCCCTCGAAAGGGGTCCAGAGCCCCAACGGAAGGGATGTTAAATCCGTTGTGGCCAAGTGATTTCGAACCTGGGTCCGTATTAGATTGGAACTTACCTCCCTCAAGTACCACTGGGATATGACCACTTTTTGATTGAAATATAAGAATATTCTTCTTCTTTTTTTAAACTTCTATTCATAGTCCTCACTTTATTTTCAAAAGTCTCGAAAGTCTTCCCTATTTTAATAAAATAACATGATAGATATCTGGATTCAATAATAATTATTTTTCAAAAAAACATTTAACATATGAAACTGATTTAGTTTATTTAAAACTGTTTTAGTTAAGACTCATCAAACTCATCACAAACAAGTGAGAAATCGACTCAATTCTATCTAAGTTTTTTCTTATTAGCGTAATCATTTAAAAACACTCACACTTATTGTAACGATGATTTTTTCACAGAGTAAATTTAATATTCATGCACTGAGTAATTTAACTTAAACCGGATTGACATCCGATCCGAAATAGAAAAGCATTCCTACATTGTCAATTTCGCCCGGTTACCAGAACAGATGCCGTTAATTATGGTAAACCGACCTGGATCAGTGGTTTACACATGGGAATCAATAACCACCAATGATGGTACATGCTGCAAACGAACAAACCGGTTTGGTTAAGTTTCGACCGGCTGCGAGAGTCGTCTAATAGATTGGAAGAACGGAGAGAGAGGTTGAAGACGGTGGCGATGGCGGTGAGACAGAAAGCTATAGCGACGTTGCCGAAGCTGATCCGAAGCATGAGAAAGGAGGTTCCCAAGCAGACAAATCTCGTTTTGCCATCTCTGAGAAGAGCCTTCTCTCTCTACGATCAAATCAATCTCATCGACAATGTTCCTGAGGATCAGCTCCGGTTTCAGGAGTAATCATATCAATTCCCCCTTCCAATTTCTCTTGATTCATGCTTCTAAATTGGATCGTGGGTATGTAAATGATTAGATTAGTGGTGGGTTGGTCTTTGATTTTGCAGATTTGATGAGACGAATTTCACGGTGAATGGGGTTAAATACGAAGGAAGCTTGCTCTGTGTTGGGAATTTGCTTATGTCGTGGAGCCCTCGTAACTTCTCCGAGATCACAACGGATAGGTACCATCTCTCTTCTCTTCAGCTTATTCTGTACTAGAGATTAGAGAATAATGTGGTTGAATCTTGAGTAAACTAATGGAAGCATAGAGTTAAGAGATGTTGCAACTGCGTAAAGTTACAATCTTTATTCTTGAGAAATTTAGAGTTATAGAAATGTTGCAACTGCGTAAAGTTATACTCTTTAATCTTGAGCAACTAAATGGAAGCTTAAGAGTTAAGAGATGTTGCAACTACGTAAAGTTATACTCTTTATTCTTGAGAAATTTAGAGTTAAAGAAATGTTGCAACTGCGTAAAATTATGATCTTTATTCTTGAGCAACTAGAGTGGAAGCTTAGAGTTAAGAGATGTAGCAACTTTGTTTCAGCGAAATTGTGCTCTTTTAGTCTACATTTGGAAACCAACGTTCTTCACTTGTATCCACCTCTTTGTTAGAGGCTTTATATGATGGGATGTACCAGTTTGTCATATTTTTGGTCATTCGCAGTAATTCATAGTTCAATGCTCTTTCTATTTAATTTCTTGATATGCATGAAGTATAATGAGCTCTGGCATATTCCATTGATGCAGCTTGTCAATCTTCCAGACTGTTCGACCAATTCCAGGTACTTTTATACTATACATTTAATATTTTGGTTGAAAATGGATAGTTTTGCTCTTATTTTTCCAACAATAAACCATGTTTAAAGCCATATTGTTAGTAGTTATAGGTAAAAAGTAGACCTTTTGCACATATTGAAGTGTATCATTAGTGATTTCTGACTCTGTTTCTCGTTTCTGGTGTTATTCCTCAACACTCTGTAGAGCTCTTAGTCATCGGTTGTGGAAGATACAACCAGCCACTGAATCCACAAGTCCGTCAGTTCGTGAAGTCAATTGGCATGAAGCTAGAAACAGTTGATTCTGTATGTTTATCCATTCCAACTTCTCTTATTATCTTGCTTCCTTCTGTTGGTTTTTTGGAATATTGGTCTATGGTTATTGATTTAACTCTCCCTGTGTCTATCCAGAGAAACGCTGCATCGACTTACAACATACTGAATGAAGAAGGCAGGATCGTGGCCGCTGCATTGCTTCCTTATGGAGTTACATCCTAAGAAACTTAACTTCGGTAGAACAAACTTTGCTCTCTGTCTACTGTAAATGAAAATGTTTCACACTCTTTTGTTTTGAGAAACTTTTTGCAAAATAATCAAAATTTCCATGGTAACCACATTATTGCAATAAGCTTTATCTGAATAACAGACACATTTTCCTGCTTTATTTCGTTTGTGACATGGAAAGTTATCCAAGAACACAATGATAAACTCAGTGAAGAACCTACTTAAAAGCATTTTGTCATCATAAAAGAAAAAGTTTGTTGAACTGAACTTTCTTCAATGCGCCTTGATTCTAACCATGGTACTTCTCTCCATGTCATGTTCAACTTATGGACTAATTAGCTAGCTAGGCTCTCAGCTGAGAAGATTATTCGAGCTTGTAAAGTGTGTAGAACTCATAGAATACTCTTTTATGAGTTTGGAGAAGAAAGAATCTTCCCTCTCTAGCAGTTTTGCAGGTGAGTCAAACTCTGCGATCCGTCCTGCTCATCGAAAAAAACTGGTTTAGACATCATCACTAGTATGTTAGATGTGAAACACATGTATATTGTTGTTCTTACCATCACTTAGAACAAGAACAAGATCACTCTCGATCACTGTGTGGATCCTATGTGCTATAGTCACCACTGTTCGATCTTTGAATTCTTGGCTGATGATCTTCTGTATCACACCATCTGTTGCAGAATCGACTGAAGCAGTGGCTTCATCGAGCACGAGAATGTTGCTTTTCTTCAACAACACCCTCCCAAGACAGACTAATTGTCTTTGCCCTACGCTCCAGTTTTCTCCATTTTCAACCACTGTTACAAAACACATTCAAGATCTTAGTTCCATAGTCCTGAAAAATCAAACTCATTATCTTTATCTCACCTGTAGCATCTAGCTTCTCATCCTTTGCACGAAGAACTTCTCCCAATTGGCATTTATCAAGAGCCTATATTGTACAAAAGTATGTCAGAAGTTATTCAGAGAAGAATTTACAGAGACAAACTTTGTAGGATTTTTTATTTTACCTCCCATATTTGGCGATCAGTGTACTGAGCTAGAGGGTCAAGATTCACTCTGACTGTTCCATCAAAAAGTGCAGGATCTTGAGGAATAATCCCGAGTCTTGATCTCAGGTCATGTAGACCAATCTTGGTAACATCCACATTATCAATAACTATGGTTCCTTGACTTGGCTCAACAATCCTAAACAATGCCTGAATCAGAGTTGATTTCCCACTTCCTGTTCTTCCTACAACTCCAATCTTTTTCCCTCCTGGAAACTCACAGGTTATGTTCTTCAAGACAGCTGGAAAATGTTCTGCATACCGGACCTGGAAGATAGGCATCTCATAATTTAGAATCTTGATTTGAATTTGTTTATGTATATTAGCATCTACATGGTTGTTTACCTGTAGGTCTTTGAAGACGATTGATCCAACATTTGGCCAGTTATCAGGAAGTTTGTGATCATGAATTACTAGAGGTGCCTCACTAGGGATTTTGGAATACTGGAGAATTCTTTCTACAGATATCATCTTGTTCTCTGCATTGCATATGTTCCATATCACTGTGGCTTGTAAAACATTCAGACTTAAGCCATATGTGACTCCAAGACCAGCAATACCTGTAAGAAAGGTGAAGATGAAGTTTTGAGTTCTGACTCCATTAGAGATTGACGCATGTGTTGATTTTGTGATGTGTGAGACTTACTTGGATTGATGACACCTTCAGGGAGGGTCACAAGCAACACCAAAGAGAAAGCAAAGACAAAATGAGACAGCAGATTCAATCTGAAGGAAAGCCACTCCATTGCTGCTGCATTATGGAACCATGGCCTTGAATGTCTATCAATTAGACTGAGGTTTGAGATGATGAAGCGGTCTCGTTGATCAAATGCGCGTATTGTCGTTGCACCAGCAAGAGATTCAGCGAAATGGTGAAGGATTGGAGCTCTTTCTACTCCTGACATGCGTGATAGTTCTCTTGCGGTTGGTGTGTAATATCTCTAAAGAACGAAATCAAGAAATCAAAACTTAGCAAGAATATAAAACTTGGCTAGCTTTTGTTTTTCTCTTACCTGGTAAAACACACAGGCTACTGCTACTGGAATGAAGATGATACAAACTTGCCAAGCAACTTGAGACATTACGAAGATAGTTCCAACAATCTGAATGATGGAGAAAGCACACCAACCAAGTCTCACTGCCATTTCCAAATCAAGAACGCTTTGATCTGTGGATGCCTATCATTGAACATGAAACAAAACAAGGTTACTACTTCAGTCTTGATTAATAAAGAAATCAAACCATATATTTTCTTGGATTGATTCTGTAGACTCACTCTGTTCAAGATTCTTCCTGTTGGAGTTGAATCAAAGAACGACATGGGAGCTCTGAAAATGCTGCAGAGCATCCTTGAGAAGAAAATCTCCGCTGTTGAAAGTCCACCTATTGCGACTAGAATAGTTCTTGCTAAAACACAAAGTGAGCTTCCTGCAGCAAGAAGCGCGTACACAAGTAGGATCCGATCCATCCTGAACTTCGGTTTGGAATCAGCAGTAGGAGGAGCAGTCCATGCCATCCAGTAATTGCTAGCAATCTGTAGCGCTTGGAAGCAAGACTGAGCCAAGATTATGATCGGCACAAGCAATCCTCCTTTCACCGTTCTCAAATACGCCAAGTAAATTTCTTTGCCGATTACTCCTTTCTCTGTTTCTTCATCTTGCACTAGCTTTGCTTCCTTCTTCTTGTTCTCTGTTGAGATGTTGTGCTCTGAGTCACACTGTGCTTGAAGAAGACTCTCTGCAACCAATGATGTGTCATCATCTTTGGTGTCCTCTTTGATGTTTCTGCTTGACTTCTCAATCGACAGGATTGACTCAAGAGCATCGTTGTGAGCTCCTACAAGAACTTCAAAACCTATGTTCTGCTTTAGAAGCTCTTCGAATTTTCCTGCTTGCATCACTCTTCCGTTTTGCATCACCAGAATGAGATCTGCTGCTGGAAGAAACTCCACTTGATGGGTAACGTAAAGTACTGTTTTTTCTTTCAGTATCCCCATTAAGCAATCCTACAAAACCAACAAAAGAAAGTATCAGTTGATGAACATACAAAATGATTACAAGAAGTTTGATGGACATTGTATCATTACTTCAAAGAGTTGTCTTCCTGTATGAGCATCAACAGCGCTAAAAGGATCATCAAGAAGATAAATATCAGCATCTTGATAAACAGCACGAGCAATCTGTATCCTCTGCTTCTGACCACCACTCATGTTGATCCCTCTCTCTCCAATCTCTGTCATGTCTCCATTAGAGAACAGCTCAAAGTCCTTAACCAAAGCACATGCTTTAACAGTCCTCTCATACTTTCCGGTTTCGTAAACGCTTCCAAACAGAATGTTATCTCTTACAGTCCCACTTAGTATCCACGGAGACTGAGGAACATAAGCTTGCTTGCCGCTCACGCTAACTCTTCCTTTAAGCTTCTCAATCTCTCCCAAGATTGATGAGAGTAAGCTTGATTTTCCTGATCCCACAGCTCCACAGATCGCAACTTTCATTCCTCTTTTCACTCTCAGCTCTATCTCATCAAGAGTCGGTCTTCTCTGCTGATCAGGATCCCAACTAAAAGTTCCATTCTCTATCTCAACACTTAGCTCTGTTTCATCCCTTGGAGTATACTCAACTGCATCTTTCTGAGTCTCACTTTGTTGAAGATAAGAAGCGATTCTATCTACAGAGACTTTGCTCTGAACAAGAGCAGAGAGGAGATCAGGTAAACCAAAAATCGGAGTTTGTAACATTTGAAACGTTGCAAGAGCAGACAAGACAGCTCCAGCTGTTAGCTTCACTCCAATGAGCATACAAGTCACAAAAGTCACCACAGAGATCAAAGCAGGAGCTCCCCAAAGTATGAAAGTTGTGAAAGCTTGTAACCTCAAAGACTTCCACAGACAATCATACTCTTCCTTCCTCAATCTCTTAACCTTGTTGAGAAACTGATTGTCCCAAGCTTGAAGCTTGAGGATCTTCATGTTCTTGAGAATCTCCGAAGTTGCTTTCATTCTCTCATCTTTGGCGTTCATGATGTCTGATTGGTAGTTTCTCTGAATCTTTGTGAGAGGGTAGTTGCAAGCCATGACAATGAAAGTTGTGACCAATGCAGCTAACGCTCCAAGCCCTAGATGCTTCTGCAAGATAAAGATGGCCGAGAAGATCTGTATAGGCAACATCCATATATTGTTGACATACCAAATGAAATCAGTGATCCTCTGAACATCTACACTCATGTAGTTGATGATCTCTCCGCTCGTGTGGCTTTGACGAGATTGGCTCGACAAGACTAAACCTTTTTGGTATATATGAGATATCAAAGCTGCTCTTAAGCGCATTCCAAGCTGACGAGCTCCAAAGATCCATTGTCTTTGAGTGACTGTCTCGACGATCTTGGCACTTAGGAAGCCAAGTCCAAGAAGGTAACCATGGTTTAAGCTCTGTTTTTGTTTGTCAGTTAGAAACTCCACGAAGTCGTTGATGAGATACGGTCCGATGTAAGCTGTGCTCGCGTTTACAACTGCGAAGACGGCGTTGATGGCAGCTTTCTTCCAGACGAATCGAAGAGTGGACTTGTAGAAGAAAGCCTTTCCAGGTCCTTCTTTCGCTATGGTGGTTTTGAGGTTGTGGTCAAACGTTTGAGAGCAGAACAGAGCGGAGTCTTTCACGGCGATGTCCGGTACGTCGTCTCTTTCGAGAGGTCTCTTGTATCCGAGGGAGAACAAAGGGTTGATCCATGAGAAAGTGATGCGTTGGAAGAGAGTAGCGTTTCCATATGGAGAATAAGAAGAAGAAGAGGAAGAAGAGTCCTTCTTGATCTGCTCTGTTTCGCTGCTACCATGTAGTAACGGCTCTGTGATTCCACTGGATTCGACATGACGAAGACCGGTTTTGCCTCTGATTGAGACAGCGAGCAAGAACAAGGATGCGAGAAGACCAGTCAAGTCTGCATAATCTTGAAACCGAAGAGGCTCGTGTTTAGCGGTTACGAAAGGAGCAGCAAAGGCTAGAGATAAGATGAAACTACAGAGCCACCATAGCCTTAACATCCAAGGAAACTTAAAAGGTTTCCTTTTTCTGATCTTAACCACGGAAACGGAAACAATCAGCCACGAGAAAGCCTGTGAGATCTCACCGGAGAAGACGGAAACAGAGGAGTCACACTTTTGTGACACTGCGATGTCTCGAAACAGCAAAAGCAAGATAAAGCAATGAGTCCCTAAGATCGAAACAGAGCAGAGGAGAGAAACGTTGTAAGAGAAGCTCTGCTTTACGGTTATGCTCTGCTTCTTCAAGTCTTCTTCTTCTACGTCATTAACTCCTCTGTTTCTCACTACACCAAGCCATTTCAGTGCCAAATGAATAACAAAGAAAGCGAGAAAGGCACCTTGCATAATGATGCTTATATGTTCCTTCAAGCAGAGTGAGTTGAGTTGGAACCATTGTGTTGTCAAGAAATGAAAACCCATCTCTGCTTCTCAAATCAAAGCAGACACAATCATGTAAAAAGAAGAAAATGTTGAGTTAATAACAAGTTTTACATGATCATATACAGAGTCTAGAGAAAAGTAGAAACTTTAAGTTAAAAGATCTCAACTTCTTACCTGCGGAAACAAAGGGCATGAACGTAGGCTTCTTCTTGTGTGTTGAGAAGACACGTGTCCTCAGCTCTGACTGAGAAGCACTATAGATGATGATTGGAGACGGTCGAGTTCATGCTTTGTTTTCAGATTGAGTTGCAGAGAGAGAGAGAGAGAGCCTGGGAAATGTTTTGAGTTTATACTGATGTTAGCTACAAGACAATAAAAAGAGTCACTGACTCTATGATCACTGTGTTTGGGAAAAACAAATTGAATTCTCTTATTAAATATTCGACAACTTCAAACGTGGGCATATAAGTTAAAGTCACTGTGTATAAGTTAAAGTCACTGTTTTATGAGGCAATTGTCAAAAATATTAATTATTTTATTTTCCAAAATTACTATCAAACTCCTAAAATTCCAAAAACATAACCTTTAGATTATATAAATAAATGTTACTAAAGTTCCAAAACGATTCCTAGCTAAATGGTTTCTTTACTGCATCTAAATTTGTGGTAACTATCACAAAAACAGTGATATAATCGATAACTTCCATTTATTCTAAATGGGGAAAAGATCTCTAAAGATAAGCGACCTTGGATTATGTAATTGAATTCAATGGTCCATTCATCTCTCACGGCTCACCTAAAGGTTGTATGGTGTGGAGTCGTACCATTAATATATAAAAGCTTGGAGGAAAAGCAATATCGATGTAGAACGATATAGCAAATTCGGTATTGTACAATGTACATGGTCAATTTTGATTTTCTTAAAATTGCCCAACTGTCTTTCATGCCCCGGGTTATCTGCAGTTTAAATGGTTTAATGTCACGTTTCTTCTTCTTCTTTTGTTAAAGGGTATTCAAATGTGGCAATACAATACGCTCATTCATCATACTTTCTTTTAATGTGGCAATACTATACGCTCATTCACATCTTTAAATTGTGGTAAATTAACAATTATTTATATGTTGTGTGGAAACAAGATGAGAAAATGATGGGACGTGAAAGATGAATGAAACAAACTTGATTTTAGTTGGATGTAACCTTTCTCCATTGTTGAGATAGTGACATCTTCATACACAAACTCGTTTTTAGTATATTTTCTAGAATTTGAGCCAAAGGAAAACAAAAAGTTTTTAGTGTAATTGACTATTATTGATAGGGTTGATGCTTTTTAAAAATTCTATTCAAGATCGTTTACTTTTCAAAAACGTTTAGTTATTATTGATCTGGTGATTAAAATCTAATGATATTAGAACAAAAATTCTTTGTAATATTATTTCGAGAAGACATAGATATTTTTTAGATGCTTAAAGTTTTTATACAATTTTTTTTAAAATACACAAAAGTATATGTAATTCTTTTTTTTGAGTGAATGTATATGGTGATTGATGACACGCCACTGTCACATCTTCATACATTTAGGGATATCTAGTGGGAATTTGATTTACATAGAGTCTAGTTTTCTTAGACGTGTGTTTAGGTTAAGGATGTACGTGGCAAAGATTTGTCGAAACCCAATAATGCTCGAGACTTTAGGAAAAAGATGAGAGTGAGAGTGAGAGAGATTCCACTTCGATTTGAGTCCTATTTATGCATTCTCTCTTTATCACTTAAGCAGGTGGCAGGGACCACATTCCAGTGCCATATTACATCGGCTCTCCAATTGTTATGAACTAGGTATAAGCCGAACTAGGTATAAATGGAGAGAGATATGGTTTTGAGTTTCTAGTGACGACGAGAACGTCATCTGACAAGTGATGTCAGCTACAAAACAACAACAAAATCCCTATGAATGATTGATATGTTTGAGGACATTGAGAAATCCAGATTGAATTCTCTTATATCATAAGGAGAAAGCTAGCTCTTCTTTCCCATAATATTATTATCTCTTTTTTTTAAAACCCTAACTCACTCAATACCTCAAAAGGAAATTATAAAATCTTTGCCATCTTAGCTGAAGGAGTTTATTAATTACTTGCCACATATTTCTTCGTAGGATTGTGATTAGACATGGTGTTATTGAAAGTTCTGTCGTTTAGCGTCAGGATGTATACGTGGCAAATATTCGTAGAAAACGACTGCCTTTTCCTTATATGAGAGTTAGGCTCGAAACATTTTGGAAAAGAGTGAGTGATAAAATTAGAGATTCCACTTCGATTTCAGTCCGATGTCTTCTTCCAGTCGTTTGTAACTTATAAGTTATAATTGCATGTGCTGGGCCCTGGTGGTTAGGACTTAGGACCATACTCGACTATCGTATACATGTAATTTAAACAAAAGTAATACGTAAAATCGTTACTATATCAACTATATGTCATAATGCGTGGAAAGCATTAAGTCCACTAAATCAATCACGGTAATTCCTTGATAAAATACATTGACCCTAAATCTTCATTGCTATACTCCATGATTCCTGATTGGTTCCCTCATAAATTAAAGTCTATTCGTATCAGCTAACAAAAATTATCCTCCTATATATATATATATATATATGTTGTCTATCATTTACAGAATTATTATTAGAAATATAAGAATATACGCATATTTGGGTGGAAGATTCGTAACATCAGACTGAGAAGCACGTTAGAGTTAGAGATCGGAGAAAAACAAAAACAAAAAGCAAAAGGTCTGATTGGTTGTAGGCTTTGAATTTTTTGCTGTAGAATTTATGCTGTAGAATTTATGTTGTAGAATTTTTGGATGTAATTGTAGATTTTAGTGTTGTAAGATTTTTTATTGTAGATTGTGGCATTAAATACAACATTAAAACAAAAAATAAGATATAGAAATAATAGATTAAAAAATAAATGTTGAAAACATAATAAGGAAAGAGAAAAGATAAAATTCTAAGAGCACTTAATTTTGTGTTCTAGAAAAATTGCTTTTCAAAGCCACGGAATTTCCATAAACGAAAAATATTAGTCTGCGTTTCAAAAATGGAAAGAGATGAAATGAAAGCTTGATTGGTAATTTTTGATTGCTGCACAAAGATTTAGTGCTTCGGAGAGCAATCACAGCTCATACCAATCATCCCCAAAAGGATATGTGATGATATCGATGATAGTGGAGTCGAGAGATCTGGCAGCTATATTCCTCAATCGAAATACCGACAAAGATTTTTAATAAAAGCGACTCATCAGAACAATCCTTATCAATATTATCTCGGTCGAGGCATGTCTAAATTCATAAAATAATGATGCAATGGATCAACACCACTTGATTAGATCCATATTATTGTTCGAATCAACAACATGCATGTACTCTAGAAGAGTAGAATGTAAACCACTCGCTATATCGTACGTCTTGCTAAAATAGATACAAATTTTCCACCGAACTTTTTTTAGAAATCAGATCTGAAAAGAACTAGACCAAATAACTCCAATGTTTTTTATAATTAAATTAGAAAAGTTTGTATGAAATGTCTTGTCATCTTCTAACAATGTGCACGATAACGTAGGTGATTTTCCACGTGAGTTTCCTTGGCTGTTTCGGATTCTTTTCTTCTTATATGTAGCTGCGTCATCGACTTGCCTTTTCTTAAATTTGGAAAATTACAAACAAACAAAAAAATCATTTGGAAAAGGTCTATCTGAATTCAACTTCTAAAGTCCGTGATATAACAGCAATCAATAAGAACCGTTCGTGGTATTTTAATTTATCCTCCACATTCATTGCACAGATCACCAATTATATAATTTTAAGATTAAAGTAGATCTTGCTCTACTGTAACCTTAAATCACATAATTAGCAATCTATGTTTATTAAATGAAAATGTGGATAACAGATTAAAAAATATCATTGACTGTTATATGTGGGATTGGGCCTGGCTAGTATGAGCAACAAACTTTCATGGGCCTAGCTAATAGTACGCGCCAAGATTTGTTCAAAGGAGAAATCTAATCATGCAAATGTAATTAAGAAACAGACTAACAGAGTTCGAAGTTAGTGAAGCTACGTATCGGCGGATGGTTCATCGCAACTCTTTGTTGTTGAATAAATCGATCAAACCGGCCGAAAAAAACAGTGATAGCAGAGGATACTCCGGCGGTGACGGCGGGATCTCAGCTCTACACAACGGACACGTCGACGACATTTCACCAAGCCACGGATCGATACAGTCCGCGTGGAAACAGTGACGGCAAATCGTCAGTCGCCTCATTTTCTCTCCTTCCTTTGCCTCTTGTTGACACACGGCGCAGTACAGCGGAGACAAATGATCGCTGATCACCACCGTGAATGTGCGGTGGCGACGCCAGGGACGTGTGACGAGGAAAGTGACGAATCTCAAGAAGAAACGGAGCGTGAAGACCGCCACGTTTGCGATTAATATAGAAACGGCGATGAAGTCGCAAAATCTAAACGCAGATTGAGCATACATCATCCAGCTAAAAAAAAAAACAGTTAATGGAGAAGAAAAACAGTGTTTAATTGGTAATAACGAATTAAACTATAAGCTCGATCTTATTTAACTTAATGGTATGACTTTGTGTGTGGTAATATTGATTTTGATTTGATGATGTCCAAAAATATAAAATAACCGGCAGTCAACAGGAAGTTTGTTAAAATGTTAACTTCTAACTTCTATGTAACGAGTGTTGACGACGTACTAATCCAATTAAGTAGCATAAGTTTTCAAGTGGATGTTTTGTAAATATTAATTGACTTGGTAACTTCGTGGACTAGGAAACTTGTTATTAAGTCAAGCCTAACAATTTCATAGCTACTATGACGAAAATGTGTATACATCATCAGTGAGAACATGTGAAAAATGTAGAGCTACTTGCAAATACATAAACACAAATATGTAAATTTAATTACGTATACGACAAGGAAAGTGCACTTGGAAGTATCTGTTCTGTTTTGATTTGTTCAGCGATTACCAAACAGTAATACTAATTGATAACAAAAGATCTACGAGGACTGTCTACACAGAAATCTGTATGTTTAGATGATCGTGAGATTCACCTTCTCAAGTTTCAGACGCAAATAGATCCTTGACTGCCTCGAAAACCTCTTCGCTCGGTTTCGCAGCATTGATCTGGAGGAATCAGAAACATGAATCAAGATCAATCTGTGATGTTAATGACCATGTGGATCATGTGGAGGAGAATCAAAATCCTAACCTTTCGAAGTTTGCCTTTAGATTCGTAGTAGCCAACAACAGGGAGAGTAGAATCTACAAACACTTTAAACCTCTTCTTTACCGTCTCAATATTATCGTCTTCTCTTCCCTTCATAGACCAAGAAAACAAACAACTTGGTAAACAAGAAACCAAATATTATTTACTCAGTTAAAGATACCAAACCTGGTTCCTGTTCAATATGCGTCTCTCCAGCTCTTCTTCAGGACAATCAAAGAAGAGAACAAAAGCAGGCTCGATTTTAGCCTGTTCATAAACAAGAACGTAATTAAACAGAGGCTTAACAAGAAGACAGCTGATAATGAATTTAAGAGACTGGAAGTGATGATCCTTACAACATTTTCGAATTCAATCCGGTTTTCTTCATTTCGAGGGAAACCATCAATGAGGAACTTATCATTACCACTTTCCTCCATAGCTTTACACAAAAGCTTCACCGTGATCACAGAAGGCACAATTCTCCCTTGTGATATCAAGCTTTGGATCATGGCTCTGAATTTAAATTCCACAAAAGCAAATAAATTAGCACTACACCAAACGTTGGCTTTTATAAGAGATCATCAGAAGAAGCAGAACTCTAACCCAAATTCAGAACCAGACTTGATTTCTGATCGGAGAAGATCACCAGCACTGAAATGGGTATAGCCAAATTGCTTGACTATATTAGCACACTGTGTACCTTTTCCACTTCCAGGACCACCTTCAATTTCAATCATTGAAGCATCTGGTTAGAAAGAGGAATGAATAATCATGCCTACATAGAGTGGAATTAGAATTACTACCCACCTAACACAAAAACCACAATCGATTTCTTCCACTTTGGGCTTTCGTGTTCGTCCTGTAAACCGAAGATCATCGTTGAATTTAAGGCAAAAATCAGATTTTATTCGTTCCAAAGACTATGAAATTGGATACACAGATGAAAAGGATACCTTCATCGGAGCGTCAACAGGAGTTTCCATGATCAGATACTAAGCTTGATCCACTGAAATCTCCAGCAAAGAAGAAGAAGAACCCCTTCAACGATATTTTGCGGTTGCGCTTTCTTCTTTGAAACGGCAAGCTGTCCCTTATCTCCAAATTGAGATGACAAGGCGTTTTCAATATCAACGGGGTACAATAAAACGGCGCACAGTCTACCATCTTCAAAGTGAGACGACACGGCGTTTTTAATAGTTAGTTCACAAGCTGCTAAAACGGCTCTCATTCTCTGTCGTGGAAACGCCATGGTGTTTTCAAGTAGCAAATTATAAAAAGTTTATTACAAAACATCCCAACAGGGTCTGATGATACATATACAGTCGTTACATACGACGAACACATAGCCAACGAACAACGTTACAAGTCAACGAACTTTATAAACACACGAATTTTCATAGTCTAACTCAACAGAAACCATCACCGAACACACACACAATCGTAGACTTTGGACTGATCATCGCACCCAAGCAACAGCATCAATCTCATCTCTGGCCTTCTTATACAACTCGAGCCTCTTGGCACACTCTAGTCTCCTATCCATCAATGCCGGATCTTCATCTAACAACTGTCCCAACTGTTTCCCCTGTCAAAAAATCCCCAACCATTAAAACGCAGAGCAAAAATCCCAAAAGTTTAAGACATATTATCATATAGTTTAGTCTTTACCTCTCTCTTGCTGATCTGAGCGTAGAAGTAGTTAAGCAACGCGAGCTTGGCTTGTCTAACTTGACAGTAAACACAAGCCTTTGGAATAGTGTTGCGAAGCGTGTCCGCAACCATGGTGACATACGCTGACACATTCGACGCTATCCTTCTGAAATGCCCGTCTCCGTATAGGTCTGGCGTCGCCGGAGAAGGAGAAGCCGCTTGGTTCTTGCTGTTGTTGACTGCTACTGGTCTTTCAATTTCTTGAGGAAGCTTCCGGAAGAAATCGGCTGTGAGGTACGCAGATTCCATGTCGACAAGACGAATCACCGACTTCTTGCTTTCTTCCCTGAACTTCTCCAAGGAAGAGTTGGCTGCTGCTGCTAGCTCCACTTGCAGCGATGGGAAACGCTTTAGCTCCTCTGTTTCTGAAATCGACTTCCTCACTAGCTCTTTTAAGACATAGTGAACCTGTTTGTTTCATTTAGCACCAAACTTGTTAATCTTTGCATATATTTATACAAAAAGGGGAAGAGACGGTGTTGAGAGGACTCACAGCATCCACAGAAGCTTCAGCTGGACCTCTGAAGTAACCTAAAGCTCCTTCGATGAGACGGCGATAGCCCTGTTCTGGAGCAATCAAGTGAGGTTGGTAGCCATCTGCTTCAGAGACGATTCTCTTGACGCTTTGTAGAGAAAGATGGCGATCAAAAGGAAGCTTTTTCAGTGCAGCTGGAAGCTGGTTGTCGAAGACTCCATAGATACGGTCGCCTCCAGGACGCCTAAACAAATGTAATGTAACGTTCAAGTCAAGAAAAAAAATAGAAAACTCAAAACAAGATTTTCAAGTATTTAAGTAGATGTTTTACCCTCCATCAAGGTGCTCCTTGAATATCTTATCGAATGCACGGCACATCTCCAGTATAGTGTATAGTTGAGCCTGAGAGTGAGAGTGAAAGAGTGAGACCAGCAGATTTAGCACACAGCAAGAAAGAGAAAAGAGAAAGAGAAAGACTCACTCCAGCATCAATAGCGACAGGCCTGCCCATTCGGTCTAGCTCTCTTTCGAGTTCCTCGATGCTTTTGTTTATTAAGGATAAGATGCTTGGAATACGGGACTTGATAACAGACTCCAAGTGCTGCAGAAAGAGAACAAACAAACACCATATGGGAAACTGAGAACCAACACAATACAATAAAATATCCAGAGTTTTAAGGATTTTTTAGTTGAGCACCTTAGAGAGAAGCTTTGCCAGATATTCTGAGCCCATTTTGGTGGCTAAGTGACCATAGTCAGGACTGGTGTCAAAGTACTCTCGCTCTTTTCTTCTTGCAAGCATCATGTCAACATTCTTGTTGATATCTGCTTGAGAACGGTTCACTATCCCAACCCAAGGATGTTGCAGCTTGTATGATCTTCCCTCCAGAACCTTAATAAAGGAAGCAGTACTATGTATTAGATCAAATTGTTGCAACCATGACATAACGTGAACAAAAGAGATAAAGAGGTGCTTACGTCTAGGGCATTAGTTCCTTTGTCCATCAGGTCTAACTTTGTAAGAACACCAAATGTTCTCTCCCCTGGGACAATATAAAACTTATTTCATTAGCAAAAGGACATTGATAGCTGCTGTCAAATACATTATCCCACTTGCAGGAGAATAAACAAACAGACAAACCTGTTGGATCCACTTCTTTGGCGAGCTTGATAGCATCTGACGTAGCTATGTCTTGGTTAGCAGGAGATATAGCTAATATGATGCAATTGGGCTGCAAACAAACAAGCAGAAACGTTTCAGAAGTTTACACACACTCAACATCAGTTTTTTACAAATCAAAGAAGTAGCAATTCTCTCACCTTATCAACATATGTGCGAACCATGGATTCGATATCCTCAACAATTGTTTCCGGCTGTCCCTCTGAATACATAAGACAGTATATCAGTACGTTCTAATACAGTCATCAAATAGTTAAGAAATGGAAACCCAAAAAAAGAGGGAAAAGGAAACATACCAACAGCAACTTTAGTTAAACCGGGTAAATCAATGAGTGTCAGATTCACAACTGTTTCCAAATAAAGGGAACAAAGTTAGTACTAGAAACAAGAGTATTACAAGGAGTAAAAAAATCAACAGTGTGAATTAGAGCACAACCATGAGGAGAGAAAATGCTGAGGTGGATAGGAACTGGAGATATCTGTTTGCTCTTCCCTGTGATTCTATCTGTCTCATCTTGAATCTCCTTGCGAACCAGAGCTGCAACATTAAACCAAAATTTCAACGAACACTCTCAGCTACAGAGTCTAGTTAAAACCGTGACCAGAATATGATAAATTCAAACAATAGGGACACTATGACAAACTCTAAGCAACCAGTAAAACAGGAAAGAAGCAGAACACATATACATTCTTACATAGCTTATGTCTAATAATAGACATAAATGTGAAAGGTACATACCGAAATCTGTGAAGTTCTTCTTGGGAAGATGGAGGAACTCTGCATACTCCTCTGTTCCAGCTTCCGTCTTATGAAGCTGCAACACCAAAGGCCGCCTCGTAACGATACCTGTACAGCAATAGTTTTGTTTTTGCTCGAAATCAGACCTCTTCTGCCTTATTTACAAAGAAAAAAAAAATGGAAGAAGTTAAGAAATTTAACAAACCGGATCCTCTAGGAAGGAAATCTCTCCCAACTATGCTCTCAAGAACAGAAGATTTCCCAGAGCTCTGCACTCAAACAAATTCAAGTTGAATGAGTCAACAGAGAGAAAAACAGGGAATAACTCAGGAAGAAATCAAAAAGTTACTTTGGCCGTAGAAATTTACCTGACCACCGACGACGGCGACGGTTGGGAGAGCTTCCCAGAGAGAATTAAAAGCGTTAGCTCCAGTTCCACCGCCATAGTCACCGAGCACGGTACATGCCCTCTGTATCCTATTAACCAACCCAATCAAGCTCTCCATAGTCGTCATCTTCCTTCTCCTTCCGTTTACAGTTGAAAATTCAAAGTTCCGACCACGAAATTTTCAGTTCAGAAGAAAATGGAAAAGAGTCTGCTTGAAAATTCGGACAAGAGACCAAAGACTCCGAGACCGGGGAGAGCAAAAGGAAGAAAATATAGGGGTAAAATAGGAAAATGAATAGAGAATAAATGTCTCGCTATGGGTTCTAGAAGGGTTGGTTCATGTGCCTCTCTATGTGGTTCGGTCCGTTATAAAACTGCTCGGTCGCGCCGTCACAGCGTCGTCTACCGCTGGTTCGGTTCGGTTTACGGTCTGGTTCCTACTTTTTGAAAAACGGTCAAATCTAAAATAATGTAGATAAGATTGTGTGTGAAGTGTGAACAGTGTGCATAATCTCCTTTTGGCCTTTTTGCATTTGAATTTTCGAATTTTGAAGTTCCACGTTGACCCCACGCAGCATAGAATTACAATCCGTCGCATCATCACTTCCAATCTTAAAAGGCTAAAACAGGGAAAACACACAAATGATTGGAGTTTGAAGGCCCAACAAGTAAGGTATATTTTACTATAAGCCCAATATAGAAGTTAGGCCTAGGAAGGGGATTGGGGAGGCTACGTGGCTATCGGTTGAGGAAACGGACGAACAATCGTGTGGATGTGGAAAACGACGATGGCTCTTTTCACCTAATACTTGTCGGCTTCTACCAGCCACCGTCACATGCTTCCCTTTGAGGTTCTTAATTTATTTATATTTTATCTACTAGTACAGAACTACAGATACATTGGTTACATTTATCATTCAAGTGTTGTTTATTTCTTTTGAGTCAGTGGCTGAGGTAATCACTACAGATCCATTGGTATTGGTCCGATACCAGATTAAGCAACGTCAACTATAAGTAGATTTTATCCTTCTGCAAGAATCAGAAGATGAAACTATACATATTGCGTTTGTTAATACAATGATGATTAGATAAATAAAAATTGATTTTAAATGGTCATAAACAAGATGGTTTTATCATTTATTAAGTTTTAACTTTTTTTTTTTT